GACCTTTGCAGATTTCACATTTCTCTTAATAAAGCAAGGGCTTTGTCCCTTCCTGGGTTGGTTGCCTGTGGACAGTGCCATGGGCATGAGGGACTGTTTCCATCACATGCCAGTTGTCATTACAGAAGGACAGGTGACTCCCTGGCTGTGGGGACATTTGGTTCACCAGCTGAACAACCATGTGCAAGCTGTTGTGAATTTCAAAGGGTTTGCTGCCACCCTTTCTCCTTGTTTGCTCTGGCTACTCATGAGTGTTTTCCCTGGAGATCTCGTAAATGTTTTGTTTCCCACAACATGTAGAAGTGAGATTGACAGTGAGCTATTCTGAGCATTCCCAGGAATTTGCAGCAGGCAGAAAACATGCTGAAGGCTCCAGTGGAGCCAGCCCACCATCCAAGAGCCAGCCATGCATGCGCTGTCTCTGCAAGCTCCCTGGGACTCACTGCTCCAGCCATTTGTAGGCCTTGAGGGATTTGTTTTCCTCCACAACTCTTTTTAGCCTCACAGGCAGTGCCTGGAAGTGCCTGAGTGGGCTCCACCGCTGCCAGAACCCAAATATCAGAAGCCCTGTGTATGTAGCAATCGTCAGAGAAGTTTCTTGTTGATCTTTCGGTATGTAAATCTATTAGAGCTGGATTGTGGGTGTCTTCTGTTCCTCTTAATCATATCCCTGTGCCCCTGAATCTTGCCATGAGGGTTGCCTGGTGGGACATTGAAAATCTGTCCATGAAATAATAAACTGACAGGGGAATGCTTCTGGTGTTGGCTGCTGCAGAGTGAGATTGTGTCTGACTGTGGAGTGCTAATTTAAGGACAGGGATAGGCTCATATGAAGCAATGTTATCCCTACTTCCTTGTAGTGGGATAAACTGTAAACAGGTTAGTGCTTGGCTGTTGTAGTGCACCACCTGATGATGCATCTGTTTCTGTATTAGGTTTCCTTCTCCTTCTTTGGATTCCAAGTCCAGTGTTTCAGATGTGTTCAGTAGAGAGCCCCGTTGAGTGCTCAAATGCTTTTGTTCCTTAAATTTAAGATTATTAACTGGGTCAAGTGTATATTCCAGTTTAAGGCAAGTCCAGATTTGGAATCTCTCTGACCAGTCTCCCAAAGAAGTAGTTAGTAGACTGAGGCACAAGCCCAATTTAATAATATAATGCTTTTTCCTTTCCAAATATTGGACAGGTTCTTGAATTACCAATGAGTACTTGCAGAATGAGCAGGCAGGGCCAGACAGAGAAAGTCTAAGGTTTTTGTTTTGTTTTGTTTTTTAATTATGCAGTCCATTGCTCTTTCAAAGGCTCCAAATAAAAAGACAATTTCACAACAGTGAGAATGGTAGCAGATTTTGGGGCGGGCAGTGAAATTGTGATTATGGGAAGATCTAAAGTAGCTATGTATGTAATCTCAGAACTGAAATAGGTGAAGTATTCTGTTAGCAACTCTGTATGTTGTAGCCTTTGGCAGCTTTGTTCCCTGTGTTTGGAACACAAAATACTGATATGTGGGTCTGTTTCTTAGCCAGCCCCTGTGAAAAAGAAGCGTCCTCCAGTGAAGGAAGAAGACCTCAAAGGAGCCAGAGGAAACCTTGCCAAAAACCAGGAAATTAAATCCAAAACCTACCAAGTGATGAGGCAGTGTGGTAAGCCTCCTTGATTGGAAGCAATTAAGCAGAGTAAAATATTGACTTAATTGCCCTTTTCAAGCGAAAGGGTCACCTCTGGAACAGCAGCTTGCTGTTCATCTGATGGACAAGTGAAGTATTTATCAAATGTGTATATGTGTATTTTAGCAGAAATCGTTTTAGTCCCTGGATTTGGGTGGTATTTCACTGATTGTCTCTCCTGGTTTTCTTTTCCAAGAACAAATGGGCTCTGCAGCACCTTCTGTATTCAGCCGGGCTCGGACAGGAGGTGAAACAGTCTTTGAGAAACCGAAGAATGAGCCAGCCAAGAGCGTCTTTGGCTGACAGTGGAGCTGGACATGTCTCACCCAAATGATTGTTGTAACATTTTTTAAAATTTCTGTTCCTTACACGAAAGTCACTGTAGACTCAAGTAGCTAATTTCCACTGTAAGTCCTTAAGCAAGGAATATACTCATGTCAAAGAGTAAAACTTTCATGTTCATTTTTATTACATGCTTTCTTTCTATGTATTGGACAATGTTTGCTATAATTGTTTAATAAAAAAGGTTGTTGGACTCAGCTTGGCATACTGTGGTGACTCATTTCAGTTTGGGTTTAGATTAATTCTGTGGGCACTTGGGCACTACAGGTGATGATTATGTCTATCAAATGCAAAGAAAAAACACCCTGATGACACAGTCTAAGTGTCAGTGCAATTTCATCACAACATGCCCTCACCAGGAGGAAGCTGAGGAGGAGCTGATCAAAGGGGCAGCACAGAAAGCTGGAGATTTCACCCAGATTTATGTTGCCTACAGTGGCACCTCAGCGAGGGCCCTCAGGGTGGCGGCATGGCACAGGGTGGTGGCTTCTCCCCTCACAGTTCCCCCTCACGGCTCTCCCCTCACGGCTTCCCCCTCACGGTTTTCCCTCACCGTTTCTCCCTCATGGCTCCCCCTTTCACACTTCCCCCTTCACAGTTCCTCCTCACATCTCTCCCCTCACACCCTTCAGGGCAGCAATGCCATGTTTTCCTTCACGCAGCTCAGTTGCGAGGGCAGAGGCCCGGCTCTCAGAGTGCCCCAGCACCGAGGGAGGGATTTCAGCTCGTACCCCAATGGTTTTTTCCTCCTGTCCCACTGGATCGAGTGAGAAGTGAGGTGCCAGACACAGTTGCCATGTCCTGCCTTACCACGGAGATGAGAACCCAGCGAGTGTCTCTGTACAACACCGGCACACTCTGAGAGGGAGTTGGTTTTTTTCAGTGCTGTTTACTTCTTGATTTGCCGCATTAAACATCAAACCTGTTTTCTCCCAAACCCCAGAATGTTTCCCCTCAGCTGGATATTTGTGCTGAAACACAGAGGAACCTCTGTGGGCACTTGTCATGCTTCCCACATACTCTGAGTTTCTGCAGCACATCTGGGGATGGTAAGGCAGATGCCACCTTTGTTAAAGAAATTACATTTATTTTACACAGGCTAGACCTGATTAAGAGGTAAAAGTGATGCCAAATTTCTCTGTGCACCATGAAATATATCATATTTGGCTTTTGTGTCCCAAACACTTGACAGATAAGATGTGACAATGCCCATAACAGATCCCAGAGAGGCTGTGGAGAGGACCTCACATATGGCAGCAGCAAATCCTTTGTCTTTTAGGGGAAAGCCTCCTTAAAAATACTGCTGGTGCGTTGCCTTGCCCTGTTTCTTTCACTTTAAAAAATTATTATTTGCCCAGACCCCACCTCCTCACTTCAGTGGGCTCAATTTCTCCATGGAGCACAGGCTGAGCTTTTTCCCAAGAGAGATCCTTCCAGAGCATGAAAAAAATCATGGTGGAAAAAATTCCTGCCCTGATATTGTTGGAGCTGCCTTTGCATTAGGTTTAACAAACCCTCCTTAATTAACCTGTGTTGAGAAGTTGGAAAGAGGTTGTTTGATAGGTGTAGAAATGGTCATGAGGGACAAGTGGGGCAAAAACTTGTTGTCGCTTTCTTTATTGTGGTAAAAGTGTCTGATGTGCAGGTTTGCAGGCAGGGTACCACGACAGGGGGATTCTGTATTTCAGACCCTGCTTTGGATACGTTGGTACTGATTTAATAAAGCACAGAAACCTTTGTGTCCCACATAGATTCTACAGGGAAGCCAAGTAAGGTATCTACCAGTAATGTGGGATTTGGCGAACAGCTCTATTTCCAGGATGCTGTCAAGCTCAATTACTTGTGCTGCTTCCAAGTGTGACAATAAAGACTGGGCATTTTTTTTTGGTCTTCCTGTCTTTTAATGTGGACCTCATCTAAAAAATGTGAGGGGCAGAGCTGACACTGCAGCCTAAATCTGTGCAGCAAAAGCAGCTCTTTAACATCCACATGATTTTACACATGGACATTAGAAAACTCATGACAGATCCACTTAATTAAAGCTTTGGCTCTTGCAGCTCTTAGGCTACTAAGTGTCTAATCCTGTGTATTTTAAGGGATTAAAGCATTACACGAGTTGTACAAGTTCATCAAATGTATAACAGTTTAATTTTTTGTATTTAAAATATATATATTTACATGTCCTTCTAGAAAGAATATGGTATTTGCAAGTAGTATAAACAATCTGCCTGAGAGGAATAAAGTTTATTTTTTAAAGGAGTTACTCAAAGCACAAGCCTTGTAAGACCAGGCTGTGCTTAGCACATTCTTTGTAGTGAACTTGTAGATGTCTGGTAAGTAATAAATTATTGAGCTCTGCTTTAGTGTCTGCTTGCAACTCCGAGGCCACTAGAAGCTTGCTCTCCACATGGACACTTTGTAAAACAGGCATGAAGAGAACACAGATGCTTGTATTTCCACAGGATCTTTGTGTTAATTTATGGCAATGAATGGCATTACCTACCAAGGATCATGGCCTGTTGGGCAGGGAGGCACAAAGGTTGAGAAAGCCATCAGCTGTAATATGTCACGTGAATGTTGCCTGTCCTGACAACCTTCAAATCTCTGAAGGGCTTGTGATAATGTTAAGGATGTGCCCTTTCAAATTATTACTGTGGAATATGGTAGAGATTCTTGCAGTTTGTTGCACAGACCAGGTCATCTGCCTGAGACATTTCACGTGACACAGTGAAATCTAATTCTTAAAAAATATAGAGAGATTTCTTTAAATTATGTTTTATGAAAAAATATTAATTTCTTAAAAAATTATTTAAAAAAAATTTTAAAATGTATTAAAATTCTAATGTTTAAGAGCAAAGATCTGTTGGAAAAATAAGCATTAAGTGAGTCCAAGTTTTCCCTATGTTTAATGGGTAAATATTAAATTGCTGTGTCTCTTCAAAGTCTACATGATATCCCCAAGTACAAGTTACTCATTAACTGATTAAGATAAATAGAGATTTCATTTGAAAATTTATTTTTTCCAAAATGGAGCAGAGAACATTGCTTGAATTGATGGTCTTTTCCTCACTCATAGTGTTATCAGAAACCATTGATCAGAAGGTATTTGCTCTATTTTTATTATCAATATCTCATTTGCTCATTTGTTGATGTGGTGGTATCGTGGTAACTGGCCAGGTAGTGCAGGTAACCACCTCCCAGGGAGACTTGGGTGGATTGTGTTGAGATTGTAGAGCTTTGGGTCCTTTTACAGTCTTTTTGGTTGTTTGTTTGGGCTGTTATAGTACAATTGTAGCAGGAGGCACTTGCAGATGTGCTTGATCATGCTCTTCCTTTGGGATGTAAGATACCAAATTTGAGAGATTAGCAGCTCTGCTTTGGCCACCAGATGAGGTTTGGATCTTGACACAGGATCAAGCAAGCACTATACAGTGCCAGGAGGTTTCTGATGAGTGTTAAACAATAAATAGGGAATGGAAAAGAGGGAAGTAGAAAGTTATTTTCACTGTGTGGAGGAGCAAACTCTGTTTTGTACCATCACAGTGATGACAAGTGGCATTGTAAAAACATTAATATTAGAGAGGAAGAGGAAGCTTTAAGTCAGAAGGTTTCTCTGTCCATGTGCCTATTCAGAAAAGTGTGAAATGGAACTAAAATGTGGATGGTTGTTGCAGGGCAGGGCCAGGCCTTGTGGCTGCTGCAGGGGCAGCTGGGAGCTCTGCAGGAAACCATGGATGGGGTGTATGGGCCCTCAGTGCCTTTGCTGTTGGGTACATGCCTGGGGCTGGTCCTCTGCTTCTTTCACCAGGGGCACAGCAAAGCTCCTCTTCATGCCCACTGAGCCCTGGTTTGTGCTGGCCACAGCCTGAAAAGCTGCCAGGGCTGGGCTAGTGCAGGGGATGTAGGTCCTCCTTCCTGCAGCACCCGTGGGCACGTGGCAGAGGAGTAGGTTCTGCTCTGGGTAAATTTTGTGCAGGACAAGCTCCTCCTGTGTTGGAAGGATCCTCAGTGGGCAGCAATGGCCACCACGTGCCTACACTGCCCCAGTGAGCCACAGTTTGGGGCTTGGTGTTCCTTATGGCAAAACCTCACCCTGAATGTGCCATGGGCAGGTTTGAGTATGGCAGGGCATAAGTTTTGAACTTCAGCCAGCATCCTAACTGAGAAGAGGCCACTGGATGGTATTAATTGGAGATTAATTATCAAACCGACTAAAGATCAATTAGCCATTTAAAAGACTTGGTGGCTGGAAAAGTAAAAATAGAAGTGCAATAATATGCTGTGATGCTGAGCTTTTTTATCATCTGTTGTACTGATGTGAGGCTGCTGATGCCCAGATCAGCCTTTTTTAGTGCCACTGCTGAAACGTGGGTTTACCTTTAGAGAGACTTCCCAAATGCAAAAGGAGGTGTCCATGTAGGCACCTGCTCCAGGCAGTTCTCAGTCCAGTCACCCTCTGGGATGTTCCAGGAAACTCCAGAATGGTGCTTTCCTCCTTTGGGCATCAGGGGTCCTGGAAGAACCAGACCAGAAGAAACATGAGCGCTCAAAGGGCATCTCTGCTTGTGCAACCTGTGAGGGGTTGGTGAGGTTTCAAGCCTGCTAAACATCCTGTGGGACACCAGGTACCAAGTTGGAAAACAGTCAGCAAAGTCAACAGCTGGGAGAGCAAATAAACAGTGTGCAAAAACAGGGGCCTTCCCTGGGTCAGGCTTAAAGAGGCCTCTGAACTTCCTGAGGAAAATCTTGGGCAATGCACTGAGGTATTGCAGCAGCAGCTTCCCTGTACCCCGAGGAGAGAAAAAGGTCCAACAGAAGCTTCTGTGGAACAGCAGAATGCAGCTGTAGCTGCAGGTTTTGCATGGGACAGTGGCTGTGGCTGCAGAGAAGGGAATAAGCAGACTGCTCCAGAGCAATCCCCTCCCCAGTTACAGCCAGGCTTTTTAACAGTTCATTCCTTCATCAAACTTTTCCAATAGCATCATCCAGGTAAAGGAAGGCTTGGGAGCAAAACCTGGGTGTTTCTGTCTCAGTCTGTTTATTATTTTTCCAGCCTGCTATTGAAATATACAGCCTCCATGTGGACTGCAAGGTCACATCACGATTTGCTCACACTGTCATCACCAGCAAAATTGTCAACCGAGCCAATGAGTCCCAGGAGGCCACCTTTGAAGTGGAGTTACCTAAGACAGCTTTCATCACCAACTTCTCCATGTAGGACCAGTCCTTACCTGCCTGTCAAGGAGACAGATCTGGGGGGGTCCATCTTTCTGCTCAGGAACTGCTGGGCAATGAACACAAAGAGGGTCCTCTGCAAAAATGCTCTGTGGGGCTAAGTAGTAGGCAGCCAAATAGAAAAGAGGTGCCCAGGGCCAGGCTGCCTGCTGCACAGGGTGGGTGACAGACATGCTCAGTGGTGTTTCTCCTACTCCAGCCTCCTCAAGACTCTACAAGGAGAAGGGTTGTGTTGTGATGATGGCTCCTGGCATCCTCCTGGGTGGGGAGGGATTTGGGAGGAAACAGCGTCTCTTGCTCATGCCCAGAGAGCCACAAAAATCTTCTGGTGATTTCCTTTCCCCAGTGCATTCCTTCTAATATTAATTAATTTCTATGGAAACCAAACAGATCCATCGATGGTGAAGTGTACCCAGGAATAATAAAGGAGAAAGCTGCTGCTCAGAATGAGTATGACACGGCAGTCTCGCAAGGACAGAGTGCTGGCCTTGTCAAGTATGTTGCTATTCTGAGTAAGGCTGCCCCAACACCCCTTCTCAGCTTCCTGTTTGGCTGGAGGCAAATTAAACCCTGGAGACAGACACATCTCAGTGGGGAAAAATGTGAAAATCAGTCTTGGGTCCTTGGTGGGAGGGACAGTGTGTCTTTGTAAATTTATATATATATGTAAATTTTTTTTTACATATATATAAATTCACATATATATGATTTATAGGTGGTCATGCAATGGGCTCTACTAGGAAGCATCCCTGTTTAGAGCAGTGCCTTGAGACTTGCTGTCACAGAATCACTGAATCACGGATCACAGAATGTTCTTGAAAGGATTCTACAAGGACCAAGTCCAACTCTTAAGTGAATGGTCCATAGTGGGACTGAACCAACAACCACTGTGTTGCTAGCACCATGCTCAGACCAATTGAGCTAATCTCAGGATAAAGGGTCCTTAAAGGTCATCTAGTTTCAAGCCCCTGCCATGGGCAGGGACACCTTTCAGGTTGCTCAGATCTCCATCCAGCCTGGCTCCCCAGGCTGGGATGATGCTCAGTGCTGAGTCTCAAGCACAGAGGACCATGGCACTTGAACAGATGTCACAGTTTCAGGGTGTGTTTAATCTGTGCTTCACAGGTATTCAGTCTGAGGCATGCAGGGGTTTCTGCACCATTTCTCAGCTTGCACCCATGACACATTAATGTAGTATATGTGGTGTACATAATAGCTCCTGCAGTATAAAAATCCTTTCCATGATGAACAATATTTACTGCTGCTCTTTTTTTTTTATCCCATGTGGCCCTTTGTCCTTTAATTTGCACACTTCACAAACTCTTGGCCACCACAAGGAAACCTTCCCTGCAGAAGATAAATCCCTGCTCTTCCCTCCCAGAATTACAGACAGAAAGCTGGAGAAGTTCCATGTGTCTGTCAACATCGCGGCCACCAGCAAAGTCACCTTTGAGCTGACCTATGAGGAGCTACTAAAGCGGCAGCTGGGGAAGTACGAGCTGCTCATCAAGGTCCAGCCCAAGCAGCTCGTTAAGCACTTCCAGGTGAGCCGGGTAGGGAGCAGTGCCCTGGGATTTGGCACAGCCATGATCCCTCCGAGAAGCTGATGCTGATTTCTTCTCCACTGCCAGATCGACGTGCACATCTTTGAGCCCCAGGGCATTCACTTCTTGGAGACAGACAGCACATTCATGACAAACGAATTAACTGAGGCACTCACCACAGTGCAGAACGAAACCAAGGTAAAGCAACAGCTGCCAGAGGTTACTGCCAGCGGCAACTCTAAGTTATATCGCTTTATATATTTCCTTCTGATTACTTTGCAGGCTCGTGTTTCATTTAAGCCAACTCTAGATCAACAGAAGAAAAATCCTGAACTTGGCGAAACGCTCCTCAATGGTGATTTTGTTGTGCGCTATGATGTTAAGAGAGAAGCCACTGCAGGTGATATACAGGTAAAAAAAAATAAAAATGGAAATGCTTTCAGATCACTGATAAGTCCAAATGTGAAGTGCAATCAGCAAAACAGCAACATTTGCTTTGAAACACCAAGAATGACAGGAAAAGCTCTTTCCATTAATCCAGGGTCAGCCAGAACTGAGGGTGATATTCGGTAAATCCCCAGAGACACCAGGTATATTGCAAAACCAGATCACTCAGGAAAAAGATCAATCTCTCAAATTTTATTCAAATACCAAATCTATATTGTTATTTCATAGATGTCTCTTTACACTCTTTTTTTATTATTATTTCGGCTCCTCTAAAGTGTATTTGTGGCTTCCTGCCAATGAAGTTTAGAGGAATGTGATTTGTATAACTTAAAATTTTGCTTGGTCTGTTTTTGTCTTTTGTGATAACAGAGGCATAACTAAATACAACAGGAACTTTACAAATGTTTATGAAGCAATGCATATTCTAGGGAACAAAACAGGGTATTTTCCAGATGATTTCACTAATGAAATACACATGTATACTTGTATAAGCTGTTTTATATACAGTTTACATATAAAAGGTGGCAGCCACAGTCATTCAGCAGAGATGTGCTCTGGTAATGATAGAGGTAATGTAATACACAATGATAATATGGACGTATCATACATATGGCACTGAGGTGTCTAATATATATGTATGTATGCATGCTGCTCTCAGGTAATTTTCTCTCTACAGTCTTGCTTCCAGCTAGGAAATGCATTTTACTTTCTTTAATTTAAGTTCTTTGGTTTGGGCTTATCGAGAAGAGCAGAATGCTGAACATACCCCCTACTTCTTGCTATGCCAGAATGTTAAGATTTATTCTTTATTTCTTTAGATGTACTTTTATAGGTGATTTCACATTCTGTATTTCAGATTGTCAATGGGTATTTTGTCCATTACTTTGCACCCCAAGAAATGCCAGTGTTTCCCAAAAATGTCATCTTTGTAATAGACCGAAGTGGCTCCATGACAGGCAGAAAAATCGAACAGGTAACTTCCCTCAGAGCATGACCTCTGTTAGCAGCAGTCACACACCCAGCCTTCTGAGGAAGCAACTGGGAATTTCTCATTGGAAACACACACACTGGTTTTGTACACAGCAAAACATTCAGACTTTGGGAAATGCTTGAAAATACATATGCACAGATTGAAGTTATTAAAGAGTAACACTGGTCTGACCCAGTTATTTTTATGAGTACTAAACATTGGGGCAGAAAGTGCTTTCTGTATCTTTGCAGAACTTTGTGTGTTTTATATTTTTCTTTAATGAAGCTTTGAGAGTTAATTTTTCTGCTGTCTGTTTTATATTTATTGATGACTGTGTTTGCAGCTCTGCTTGAGAGCAGACAAGCTCTCTACAGCCCTCATCGATTGTATTTTGTGTCTGTAAGTTAAGTGAATTGACTATTTCTGATGGTCTCAACCTAAAACATACCTCTAGGTTTTAACAAAGGCATAGGGCTGCATCTGGAACAGAGCTATAGAGAAACCCCTTATTACACTGCAATTTCAATCCCAGTTCAGGCAAAGTGGAAATCATCAAAATTATTGTTTTCTCCTTGGAACAGACAAGGGATGCCCTACTGAAGATTTTGCAGGACCTCCGCCCAGAAGATCATTTCAGCTTTATCACCTTCAACAACAAAGTGGTGGAGTGGAAGAGCTCTTTGCTGCCAGCCACTGAGGAGAATGTGGCCAGTGCTGCAGCATTGGTGCAAACTCTCACTGCCAGGGGAGGTACACGTGCTTGTAGCCACAAATATGCACCCACTGGAACGAATTGCTTAGAAAATAATTATTTTTATTACTTATATAGTGCCCCAGAGCTACCACCAGCTCTTTTGTAAGCTACTACTTGCTTACAAAGCAAGTCAGTTTTTAATACTTGTAAGTGTTGCGTGGGAAAGAAAGCCTGTGAGTAGACACACTGGTGACTACATTGTGAGATAAGTATCTATATAAGAAATGCTTACAGCACATCTATGAAACATAGAAGCCACAAAGTCTTGTTTCCAATTTTTATCATAGAGAGAATTGGAAGAGTCCTTAATAGCAAATTTTTTTCTACAGAAAAATAGCAATTTACTCAACATTTGACAGCAATTTGCTGATTTTTTTTCTTTTTATATCAAGTGTTCCCTTATTAAAAAAACCAAGCAGCCACATCCAAAGTTATACTCGCTTGTAAGCCATGCCACAGAAATAAAACAGGCAAAACAGACATGTGGCATTTCAGTTGCTGCATCAGTCAGTGTGCTTGGTGTTATTATTTAGTTTTAAGCACATTTCAAGGGCTCTGTCCCCCTTTAATGTTACACTGTCAGTATTAACACAAGTTTCCTTACCCCAGGCACTAACACCAATAAAACCACTCATGCTCAGCTCTTTTCTCTGACTTCTTATATAAGGCAGGGAAACTTTTCTTAAATATAGGTTAACAGATGACAGTGTGTTTACTTAAGCACTTTTTAATGGCTCTAGACATGTTTGTATTTCCCATGACATATGTGTGGAAAATGGTCCCAAAGGACTACTCTGGCACTGCCATTGCAATATAACACCCGGTAATTAAGTCCAGTAGGATAAGTCCCTAAATCCTCCTCTCTCAGAAGGATTACTTCCTGCAGAAAACTTTAAAGAAGTCTGTAGGGCCTCTGCAGATGGAGGGCAGCAATCTCTGCAGGTGATTCTCCTGTTTGGGTGAGCAATGCCTGTTCTCATTGCAGGCACAGACATCAATGGTGCTCTGCTGACCGCCGTGGGCATGCTGGAGCAAGCCGAGGGGCTGCCAGAGCGCAGCGTCTCCATGATTATTTTGCTGACAGATGGCCAGCCCACTTCTGGTGAGTGAATGCTATGCTCAGTCCTCCCTCCCCTGGGGTTTTTTTATCTTTTACACTTGCATCCCAATATTGATAGACCTAGCCTGTGTTTTAGAGGAGCTTTGGAATATGCAGGCTGAGCTACTGCTGGATCTGGAGAGGGGGATTATGAGAGTGCTCTGCTGAGGGCTGTAGGGAGTGATGGCAGAGCCTGCTTACCTGTGACTGCACATCCTTTAACTGGGAATTGTTTTGCTGCATACCATTGCCTTCCCAGTTTATAAACTCAAGAGAATTGGAGATACTCCAGGCATAGCTGAAACAGAAAAGCAAAACACCTAGAGACAAAACATGAACATTTTGCAGATACTGTGTTCAGTCCTATTTGAGAGAGATTGCTTGTGCTTTTTCACCCTCTGTGCCTCAAACTTGAGATATTTTCAAGGTGCTTCTTGTACTGTATTCTTTGCCATGTCTTAATTAGTGATCAGCTGTGACAGCACAAACCAAAGAGCTGAGATTGAAATATCAGGTGAAATAAGCAACAACTCCCAGTGCAATGGCACAAACTCCCTTGTCTTGAACAGGGGTTTGTCTTAGTTTTGCGTGGCACCAGCATCACCTGTAAGCCCTTAGTAAGATCAGTCTGCCTTTTAGATTGTGTGTGCCATTCTGCTTTGGGGTTTGTTGATTTTGTTTGGGTTTTTAATAAAATTCAGCTCACAATGCTGCCTCCCCAGCACAGCCAGAGTGAGTCTCCAGTGCTCCCCACATCCAGCAGCTAGAAATCAGTCCAGGGTGGAGTGTCAGGCATTATTGCATACACCGCCTTCCTTAGCAAAGCAGCTCAAAGGGATAAATCTGAGCTGCTCCCATGATATTGCTACAGGCAGTGACAGTTTCTGCCTGGAAATGCTGATGGGGAAGCTGTCCATACATGGCCATCAGCAGCTCTTCAAATGGGGTAAGAGGATGGTGTGAAAATCTTTTCCCTCTGTCACACAAAGGAGCTAAGAGAGAAGCACGGTTGAGTTCATTGGCAGTTTGTTGGAATTGCACCATTAACCAATCCATTCTTCTCTGAATTGACACACATAATTTTTATAGATGGTACTTGTATTTTGAATGCTTGATGAAGTGTGTCCATCACTGGTGTTGTTAATTTGTCGTGTGTGTCCCTTCTGTACTAAAATCCTCCTCTGGCCCTGTAATCCTATAAGATATTTTGCACATAGCCATGACAACATCAGTAGAACCCGGTAAAGGTCATTAAGGGGGAGAATCATGTTCTGGCACTTCATATGCAGAGTTGTGCTTTCATTTCCAATTCAATTACCAGCATTCTATCCCCTGTCTGTTTAGTATTTTAATCTGAATTATTTTTAAAAATTTCAGGCAGAATTCTCCACTAACCTGCTGCAGTCTTTTTGCACTTGAAAAGACACAAACCCACAATGGTGTTTCTGTTTCACTTACAGGTGAGAGAAATGTGGAAGCAATTCAAGAAAACGTTCAGAAAGCAATCAATGGGAAATATGCTCTTTTCTGCCTTGGCTTCGGGTTTGATGTCAGTTATAAATTCCTGGAGAAAATGGCCCTGAGCAATGGAGGAATAGCACGGCGTATTTATGAAAATGCTGATGCAGCCCTGCAGCTCCAGGTCAGGAGTAAGGAATGTGCCAGGAAAAGCATCTATCACCTCCAGTTTATGTCTAGTCCTAGTAGCAAAATCACAGATTTGCTGAGAAGAAATGCTGGGGTTGAGTTTACCCGTTACTTTAGAGGAGGAAGGAAGGCAATGTGGTTTGTACCCTCCTTTATATAGCTACCTTTGTATCCATGACACAAAGTCCTCAAATCAGCCACATTCAGACAAACCGGGAAACTCACACACTCCTGTACTGTAAAAACAAAAATTGTCCAGGGGAAGTGGACAGTTTCTGAGTTTGCAGTAGTCTTACACTACTAAAGAAAAAGCTTTTTAAGGAGGTATTAGGCATTCAACATACTGCTTTGCACAATTTTGCTGTCATTTGTGTCTGTTCTCTGTCTCACTGTTTTCCCTTAGGGCTTTTATCAAGAAGTGGCTACCCCAATATTAATGCAAATTGAAATGCAGTATCCAGAAAATTCCATTGAAGGATTAACCAAGAACAATTTCAAGCTGTTTTTTGAAGGATCTGAAATTATAGTGTCTGGAAAAATTAGTGATGAGCTGGATCTTTTGCCAGTGGAAATTAAAGCTCAGTCAGTAAGTGCTTAGTCTACTAATTGTGAAAAACATCTCTCCCTTCTGTCTTTTGTGGCTTCAAGAAGTGTTTTGTGTGTATGTTCTTACATTTGGGCATTCAGGTCTTTTCCCATTGTTTGAACTCTCAGATAATTTGCTAGAATTACCCTCTCTTGAATTTGCTACAAAAGAAAAACCTTGAAGAATATCCACAAATAAGCAAACAGCAATTTTAATTCAATTTTGTTGATTCTTTAACAAAATCCAGATATTTTGGCCTTTCAAGCACTTTTAGGTTTCTATTGTTACAATGAAGCAGGAAATCTCAATTATTTATCTCAAAAATGTTTAAATAGAATTTAATTTCTCATCATTGTTTCAAGCCCAGAAATACCTATCTAAAATGCATGCTTTTTAAATACTTTGGAGTTGCATTTTCCAATGGGAAAGAACAAAATTGAAGGACAGCTGGTACTGAAAGATACTATTTTAAGTCTAATAATGTGACTATAAATGAAGTCTGGAGCTGTTCTTTTGATGGTCAGTTTTCTCCCACTTCAGCACACGAGTAATTTGACTCTTACAGAAGAAGCAAATGTCAAAGAGAAGGAGCAAGTATTCCAAAATCAAAAATACATCTTTGGGAATTTCATAGAGAGGCTGTGGGCTTACTTGAACATTCAGCAGCTTCTGGAAAAAGCGTAAGTGATTTTAATGCTTCACATAGCAAACTTCTAACTTTTCAAAACACAAATTCCTTATTCACAAATAATGTGATTATAAAATACAAAGAAACTGAAATATTTCTCCAGACAGTATCAAAAACATAGGATACTGGGAGAATACTACATTACTGTATGTTGAACATAAGGTGCCTCTCAGTTTCTGGTAGCACTACAATATTTAATTTCATATATATATATATTAACACATAATGTAACACATAATTCTTCATGAAATTACTATGGAATAGATTTCAATTGTATGGATTGTGTTGGGCTGTTCTTGCACACCCAGAAATATTGCCTGTGGATAAGGGAATGGCAATAACCAGGGAATAGAACAATATGGATGTCCATAAGATACTTCATAGATCATGTATCTATTACTTTTATGTACTTAAACCATACATAGGCTCCAGTGTTGCAAAGATTTAAGCATTTCCATAATTTCAGGCACATGAACAGCTGAATTATCCCCATAAGACTACTGACCCTTCAGAGATAATAAATATTTGTGAAGACACAGCTAATATGTAAAGAAATCTGAAGATAATTTGTTTATAGTCTCTAAATATTTTTGCTTCACCATTAACACAGACTTTAGTATTTCAGCCCAAGAAGAGGACCAGAAGGCCCTGGAGGCCCAAGCCTTGGATCTGTCCCTGCAGTACAGCTTTGTCACACCCCTCACTTCCATGGTGGTCACCAAACCCCAGCAGCAGGAGGAGCTGGCAAACAAACCCACCGAGGCTGGTAAAAACAGCCCCCCTGAAACACTCTGCTCTTCTTGATTCATTGTTGTTGACTTCCACCATTTGATAGTGATATAAGGAGGCAAATCAGAGACAGGAGTTCAGGGATTGGCTTTCTTTCAAAATAAAACATGCAGGATTTTTTTGAAAGGTGATGAAACAGGCACTACAATTGAAATGGAAAATAGTTTGTTTAAATATTAACTAAAGGTAGTCAAATAGCTGTTACTATTACATTCCTGACAATGCAAAAGGGTTCCACACTTTTCTCTGTAGCATTTAAGTGGACAAATGAATGCAGGGAGGAAAGCATGGCCTCAGTCAGAGTTTTGCAAGTGCTCTATATACCCTTCCTTTAACACAAAAAAACTCATCACCTGAAGCCCTTGTCCCAGTTTGCTGGTTCACATGGGTAAAGGAATTCAGTGTTGACTGAATGACACTCATCTATCTCTCTTCCTCTTGACAGATAATGAGAAGCCCAGCAGTCTTCCAGCAGGAGGTAAATGTTTTCTTCTCTTCCTGTAGCATATTTTCAGAGTCTCTAATAAAAAAAACAACAAAAAACAACCAAAACAAACAAAAAGAGTTCATGATGGGTTGTTCTGTAGAGGGACATATCTGAGATTTGAAAAAATGTGTAAAAAATTGTAAGCAATGCCTGCCACAGTCTGTGCAGGTTTTGGGTAGATAACAGGGTCAAAGGGAGAAAATCTTCCATTCAGAACATCTCAAAGGTCAAAATTATCTATGCTCTTGAGAAAAAGTAGTTCTTCAAGTCAGTGGTGTTAATGATGCTTTCTGCTTCTCCCTACCACTTGTGAAGCATGTTTCAAAAGATTCCGCTTAAGAATGCATTCAGAGGATGATTCAGGTAATTTTTTTCCTCTCTGGAAACTGCATTCATTTGTATAATAAATTTATAGGTGAAGAACCTTGGTTTCGCTCTAGTTCTTTCACAGAAATGTATTGAGGGAATCACAGTGCTGCCCTGTCTTTGGAGGTTGCTTCTTTCAAAGTGGTGCTGAGGAGTTCCACAGCAGAACCACTCCTGCTAAGGTATGTGATGTAATCATGAGTAAAACACAGATACTCTCTTTTCTTTCTCTAGGTACTCATAGACTGATGAGTGGGTTACGTGGTGGTAAGTACTCTTCTTCTGTTTCCCTTCAGAATAATTCTGTGAAGTTCATTTCATATGTAAGGTCATATCAACCTTATTCTAATAAATGCATTTGGATTGGAGATGCCCACTTGATATGCATTTTAGTTTTTATTATATGTATTTAAGTTCACAGATATTTTATAATGAACTATAAACTTTTGAAAACAATCTTGGCCTCTTTTCAGAAATAAAAAAATATTATACATCCTGAAAATAAATGTGAAAGGTCTGGAAAAATATATATTAGTAAGCTGAAAGAAATTAGTGTAAAAACAAAATAATTCACCAGTCTTGAGGTATCCAGAAAATTCAGTAGGCAACAAGCAGGACAGATTTCCTGTTTCAAAGGGTGGGGAGGGAGGTACAAGGTATAAACCTAAAGCAATAAAACATTGGGAAAACCCTTTTCTTTCAGGTCGAAGGCACTCTGAGCTCCAAACTGGCAGCAACAGGAAGATGTTTTCAACAGGTAACTGCTCACAGTGGGGTCAGAGGAGCTGGCCTGGGTGTGCTGCATTCAACACTGCCCAGTGACCCTTGAAAATGCAGTTTTAAACCCTCCCACAACTCCAGCTGAGCATAGGCCCATGGCACGGTCCATCCTGAAAGAAATAGGCACTGGATGGTGTGCTTTTTCCCCCATTGGGAGATCTTGCCTTAGGCAAAGCTCTCCATAGTAGTCAGTGAAGAGCTCTGCTAAAAAGGCTTCTGTCCAGCATTTGTCCTGGTTCAACAGCTGACTTAGAGAAAAATGTTTCATTAAACTCTGCTTACTAATTTTAACTATTTCAGTTTCCAGATTCAGAGAAGCTGTAATAGCACAACCTATTGGTAAGTGACACACATCCTAGTTCCATTTCAATTAATAATGTAACTGTAACATACACTTCTTCATGCAACAATGCTTTTTCTGACTGCATCAACTCTGACTTTTTTTTTACTTCTTCTTGCAAACTTTGGCTAGTTCTTTCCATTTAAGTAGAAGATATCCCTGTGTTCCATGAGAAGACCTCTCTGGCTCAAGGATATAAGAAATGCAGTACAACAGATTTTCAGTCTAAGCCTTTTTAAGGGCTCATTGTCCTTAGTAAACTCTATATTTAAAATCTGTTGGTTTCATTCATATCAAGGTACTGTGTCTGGTGTTCTTTTCAAGAGTTATTTCTTTGTTTTTAATCATTCTATCCTATAGAAGCTATAACTGCTGTTTCAGGTATAAATCTATAAATTATTTTTGCTGGGCCTATCCAGGGCACAGGCTAGATATTTTTTTGTTGCTGATATTTTTCTTCTGTCTTTTCAGCTAATGAATATCCACAACTCCTCTTACAATTACCAAGACAAAATGAAAGAATCTGCTTAAATATTGATAAAAGAGCACAAACCCCTGTCCACCTGCTGTCAGATCCAGAGCAAGGTGAGTGAGCCATGTTACCCCAATACCAAGATAAGGAGAATCACTGGTCTGTGAGTGCAGTTGGTGTTTTTGGGAATAACCCCTTCTCATGAAAAGCCATCTCACAGTTGCTGCCTTGCACTGACCAGAGAGGCTGTGGTAAATTCTGCCTTTCTGTTAGGCAATATTAATGGTGTAACAGCTGGGGGCACTTCTCACAGGTCTGTCTGAGGGTCACGTTCTCCTCCTGGTGTCACATCCTCCTCAGTACTTAGGGTTTTCTCCTACCTAGTCCTCGGGGCTTTGGAGGATGCAGAGACCTTTAACCTCATGGTCCCTCTGTGCCAACAGAAAGGTGCATGCTCTGGATGCACAGCAGATTTTCCATGGTCCTGTTCTTGAGGAGCCATGGCCTGGGCACCAGGCACCTGCTCTGATAATGGAACAGAGACACCTCTGTGCAGGAGGTGGAAGCATGGGGTTAAACAGGCTCCAGTGAACCTACCACAGTTTGGGGCATGTGGAGATGAAATCCAGAAATGCTTCACAAAAACAGATTTGAGACCCTGGAGTCATTTCAGTAACAAAACTGGAGCAGATTTTTTAAGATCACTTGTACCATAAGAGAAGAATCACTTGACAAATTTGTATTAAAGGACTCACTGTGACGGGGAAGCTTGGACATGGAATAAATCACTTTGTGCAGTTCGATATTAACTATGTGAATCCCCCCGTGCAAATCCATGTCTACACTCATGTGATCCTTGTAAGCTACAATAACAACAACAGTTGGCTGTCATGGGCAAAGTCAGCCTCCTCCACCATCCAGGGGTAAGAAACATCTCTCTGTCCTTTCCTAAACTTGAAAATATGTCAGATCTTTGTTCATTCAGGCCTCTACTTTCCCATTTACCTGAAGTAAGTGCTTCCAAATGTTCTCCTCCAGCAAGTATAACAGTGTGAGTAGCAGCAGGGTATCTTCAAAATCCCCCATTTCAAATTTGGAGAAGAAAATTAGTTTGATTTTAATTCTCCATGCCTGTGTAAAGAGAACCAGAGCAACTGCATCATCCGCCTGCTGTTCATGAATTTATGTTCCAAAGGAAAGGAGTCATGCAGAGCAGCCTGGTGCCACCAGCAGCCACTTTGTGCTCCTCCAGGGCAGAGCAAGCGCTGCCAAGTGATGGCTTTGACATTTACTGTCCCTTTTATACAGCACTTGGCTCCACACAGGCTGGGGTTTTCTTTCTCCTCAGTTTTAGTAATAACTCCCATCAGGGAAGCTGATATTTTTTATGGGCAGGCATAAAGAGTTGGAATAGCTGTCTGTAACTAAATGTCCACTGTAAGAGAAGGGATACTTTAAAAGCAGACTTTATTTGTTAGAGTAATTAGAGCAGGATCCTTCAGTACCATAAGGAAGAGCTGAGTGTAGCTGGCTCTCCCAGCCTTTTCATATTGCTGGAATAAGTCTCCACAAGGATCTCCTGCTGGCCTGGGGCAGACAGGACACACATCCCTGCTCCCTCACACACAGTTCTAGACAATAACAAGTCCTGCAACAACTGCTTTCAATTATTCTTGTAATCCAAACAGAGCCAAGAACTTACTGGATTTATGTCCCAGTATAATTTGGTAAGCAGAATGATCCTCCTGCTCCAATCCAGCACCCGAGACCTTGCATCAGCATTTTGGGGGGGGGCTTTGTTAATCCTGTCTGTAGGGAGCAAAATGACAGTGACATTTGTGTTCTGCGAGACCACCTGGGATCACAATAACATTAATGGGTCAGAAAAAAGGCAAGGTCTGAAAAAATTGTGAAATAGCCAAGAAAAAAATATTTGACTTGTTCATAAAAAAGATTGAATTATTTTATTAGTCTACCTTTTTTCTCATTAAAATGGTGATAATATTTTTTTCCTATCCAAGTATTTCTTGTCATTATGGATAATATGGTGTAGCATCAGCAAAAAATTGTTCCCTGGTATGTTGTGCAGCAGAGAGAGAAAAGATATTCAACTCAATATTTTCTAGCTTAAAAATAACTACAAACAGATCAGGAAAATGCAATTGCAAAGAGATAAAAGGCAAAAATGAAATTATTTTAATTAATTAATATCAGTTAGTTAAATACATATTCTTTCTTCACATTCTTCTCAGAAATAATTTCATAATTTACTTCCTAGGCTGAGAGTGTCAGTTGAAAAGGAAAGGAGCGTTACAGCATCACTGCCTGATACGGTCACAGTAAAAATTTCCTTGGTCAAGTTTCCAGATGATTTCCTTGGGCTTTATTTCTTGGACACTGAGCGTTTCTCGGACAAAGTCACTGGAGTTCTGGGTGTGTATCAGTATGGATGTGTGCAGCAAAGACTGCTCTTGTAAATGAGAGTGTTGTCAGTGGTTTGTTTCAGGGAGTTCCTGAGAAACTTTGCATTTAATTTATTCTTTGGACATTGAATATTTTCCGCCCAGCAATCCCAAAGAGTGGAGGTCTCACCCTGGAAACATAACACACATAACATGATGCTTTTCCACTCACCAGTGGCACAATCCTAAGTAGCCCATTATGGGTGTAGAAGATGTTAAAATAAGACAGAAATAATAGTTGAGCTTAGCCTCAACAATGCTGTGGAATGACATGATTGATGCAGAAAATTCATTTGATGTCAAGTAACAGACTATAAATAATGGGCATAAAATTGTAAACAATCATGGTTAGGAAATGAAAGCCAGCTGCTCCTGAATGTCTTGGCTCCAAAAATCCTGGTGGATTTTCAACCTAAGTTGTTTTGGAAACTCTGCAAATGGAGAGACTCCATATTCCAAAAACCACAAGGAAGAAAAAATTATGAAAAACCGTCAGAGAAAGCCTGAACCTACCTGTGGAGGGTGTTAGGGATAACAGGAGATCACAGATGAAACAGGAATTTTCTAAATTTACTTATGGAGCACCCAAACATGATCTTTGGTTTGTTTTCTGAGATGAAGAGCTGCTCTCCTGGTGTTACAGCTGCCTTTTGCCTTAAACAAACAGCAACACTCAGCTGGTTTGTATTTTTAAATAATTTCTGTGTCTGTTGCCTAGGTCAATTTTATTCAAAAGCACAACTGGAGAGTGACTCCAGCAAAGATCAGAGTGCTGTGGAAAGACTCCTGAGAGTGTCTGGATCTGAGCACAAAGTTTCCAGGTACCAGATATGGAGGGGGTGTGTGCTTTGGGATGTATTTTATCAACAAATACCAGAGATCGGAAGAAATGAAACTGATGGAGTGTTGTAAGAACATAGCTCTCTGGTGTAAATAACTTGCTTTTTAATTTTTTCCCCAACAGCCTGCATTTGTTTAAGTGATGCTATAGGGCTCAAGGCTCCTATTTCATCAGGGGGAAATAATTACACCCTGGGGGTACCGCTTGCATTGTTTTCCTGAACAGGGAGGGTGTTTCCTCAGTTGGATTTGCCAAGAGAAAAGTTTTCTATCCTTCAACTGCTTAGAGCACACATTTCTGATGGGGTAGAAATGCTGTGAGTCCTGTGTGCAGGTCCTGGGAGTGCTGAGGTGCATCTCTGCCCACGCAGGCCTCTGACCCTGGTGCCATCCGCACATCAGGGCAGTTCTGGCCCTGCCCTTTGATTATATTTCCACAATTTCTCTTGCTTTGGTTTCATTTCAGGTTGCACAAGAAAGATTACAGGCTCAAGTCAGACAGTGAACCTGTTTCCTGCTGGTCAATAGATCTAACTCCCTAGAACAAAAAAAATCTGTGGAGAAAATTATGCAAATGAAGCTCTTCCAAGTATTTTTGATACTTTCATCAAGAAAACCACACAGTTAAAGCCTTACTGCTGCTCTACTTGTGTCACAAATATTTTACCTTGAAATAATTATACTTTCAAGATATGATGGTGCTTGCTTGTTTGCTATTTGAAAATGGTTTCTAATCTGCAATGTGGTTTCGTTGCTGAAGATTTATGTGAATGAACTAAATAAAATTGACATTATCAACTCACAGTTTGATATAGACACATGGACTTAGGTAAATAATAAAGTAATAAAAATCAGTAATGGCATCATCCAAGCCAACAAATGTGTCATGCAAACAGTAATAGATTTCTAAAACTTTATCTTGTTATAGATGTCGGTGCTCTTGAACCACATGTTTTGTAAAAACACCATGAAGTTTGAGGCAGTATTAGTTTACCATTTACTCATTTTCTATTTTATTGCTATATCAGGGCTCTCTTGGAGGTTGTTCTGTCAGACCATTCAAAGCTCACGAAATCAGCAGTGAATGGGGCTGTGTGTGGGATGCAAACCCACACCAGCTGTGATCTGGTTCATTGTTACAAAAGTCTCTGGGGCTCCCTTTTGAAAACATCTGCAGAACAGCCATTGGCTGGTTGCAAAACACAGCATTTCAACCCCAAAAGTTAGCAGCTTTTTTTGGCACCATTTCATACATTTTGCAAACACTGTAAGATGTTTTACAAACAATGAACATCTCAAACACAACCTGCTGTGCACAGAGGTAACGCTGCAGAGTAAACACACACACCAAAGCCTCTGCCCATGAAATCCAAGCTGTGGTTTCTGTCTTCTACTTTTTGTAAGTTTTAATTCCAAAATGATTTTGTTTTAGAATTTCAGTTCCTTTGTATCTTTGAACCCATAAACATGCCAGCATTGTAGGCAGTTTAACAGAAGTTGCTTTCTATCCTGCCAATAATATATAACTGGAAAAACCTTTTTATTTTAAAGCAATGTACTAAAAGAGAAACGATTTCTTGCCAAAGTCAATAAGCTAAAACAAACTGTGTAATTAGAAGCCTGTTTTTTAAAAGAATTGTGCAAACATGATGCCAAGATATGTTTGTGTGAATTGCTTGTATTTCAAGGTGCTGATTTTGCCACACAAATTACATGATAAACAACATGGAATTTGGAAACTGGAAGCACCAGATTGCTCACTTCACTGCATCAAAAACAGGCTGCCCAATCTGATTGTTTCCATTATAGATGAATTTGGGATTTGAATCACAAGCTGTTGATCCAGGCTTATATCAGCAGACTTGCTGCAAATTAAATATTCCCTGTTTTCAGTTGTAGGGTGTCTGTGTGTCACCTCCTGCCCTGCTGCCAGCAGCAGGGATAGAATCAGCACTGATCAGGGAGCTGTGGCTCATGGCTGGGGCAGCTTTCCCTTGGGACCCTCTGCTTTAAGTGAGGCTCAAGCAGATGCAGCCCATGCTTGAGAGCTGCACTTAAACTGCAGTGCCTGAGCTTTCCCAGGCAGCTGCTGCCCTGATAATGCAGCTCCCCCTTGCTGCAATGAATTTATTAAGGTACAACAGAAACTCCTCACATTGTTCAAAGATTTTATCTGACTTTGAATAGATAAGCTGTGCTGACAGAGGTTTCTGTGCTTTCTGCAGCAGCCCGAAGTTACTGATGTGCCTGGCTGCTGCAGCTCCCAAATCCATGTAGTGCTGCTTCCCCTCTGCACATGTACTTTCCATTCTCTAAGTAGATGTCATTCCACTCTTCACTTGAATTGTGTCTTAATTTGTTATTTAGTCACTCTCCTCTTGTGCTTTCCAAGCCCCAAGTGAGTTCTGGTGGGTTTCTGATTTCCTGTGTTCATTTCCCCTGCTCAGAGGTTGAAGGCAGATACAGTAATGAATATTTGGCATTTTGTAATTTCTAATTCCAATACAAAATGGTGTCACTGTGTATGTAACAAATCCACACATCTCTCACAGGATATGCCCCCACATTTCTCTTTTAACCAGCAGTGTAGCCATCAGCAGGAGGAGGAAATGTTTATCTAACTGTGAGCATCTGTCTTCTGCTTCTCTCTGCTGTTACCTTTACCTACATTTGCTGTTACCTCCTGCCTTGCAGGAATCTCTTATTATTATACATTATTATTATAGTCTATATTCTATATTAATATATAATATTATAAGATATTACACATCATTATAGTATTACTATAGGAGTGCTTATTGAATAGGAGCCATGCAAAAGCAGACCAGAGCCCCTGAGAGCAATTTGTGGCTCCCAATTCAGTCACAGACAAGGCTCCTGACACCTCCAGAGATTTGTCTCATATCATAAATCAAACAGGAAAGTCCTGGCTGGCCCAGGATTGCCTTGTGCTCAAACTCTGCCAGCCAGGTAGGTCTGCTGTCACCTGCTCTGCTTTATTGTGTTAATGGAGCAAGTGAGAATGGGACCAGCCCCCACGGGCAGTGCCACAGCTCCTGTCTCAGGATCCAAAATGGATCATTTCTTTATTTCATTCTATTCCATCTAATCCATTCTCTTACAATAAAAATTTAGAACCATGTAAACTTAAACTTACTAGTTTCAATGTTTTAGTTTTCTCCCACTCCTTCCTGTTGCTCTTCCTGTCTTCCTCTTTCACCATTTCTATCTGGATTTAGCAGGCAAAGATCTGCAGCCACTGTGACACCCTCTCCCCTCACCTATTTTTTTTTTTATTTTTCTGTTGCATTTTTGTTCACATCTACCATTGTTCTTTCAGTTTAACCTACCACCTCTTCTATAATCTATTTCCCCCACTACACTCCTCTTTTCTCTGTGTTCTGCATTCTAGTTTTCCACACAATTACTTTCTTTGTCCTATTACTGTTGGGGAAATTTTCTGCTTTGCCATGTGAGACCACAACTGCATTTTTGTGGCTGATTTGATTAAAAGAAATTTAAGTAAATAAGAAACATGAAGGGGGAGAGAATGTGTTTTTGGTTGGTTGGTTTTTTTGCTTTAGAAGTAAGAGCTTGCAATTTCTTGCAGTAAAAAATGAATATACAAATAAATGGGCCACTTGCCCTGAATGTGTTCAAAAACCCTTTATGGGAACAGAAGGAAGGGTCTTCCTCTGTTCCTCTGAAAGATACTGTCCAAAAGAGCTATCATTACTCAAATGTGAGTGCTGCTTGCAACCCTGGTGTTCCACTAATTTATAAAGATTCAGACATTTTAAAGTTAGGTTCAAATTAAAATGCTAAAATACAGAAGTTCTGGATGCCAACAGTCACCTCCTGTGCTGGCAGCAGCTCTCAGCACTGATCAGTCAAGAGGTCAGGTGGTTCCAAGTACCATGGGATTATCCCAAAATCTGGGCTGGGCTGTCAGATGTCCTCTCGTGCTCAATTTCAAAATGCATCTGGCACCCCAGGCTTTGTGAAACTGGCATGAGAATATTGAGCTGTTGGAATAACAGAACCAGGCACTGAGTACTGATATTTTTATTTAATCACTCCTGACACTCAATTATTGATTAAAAGTTGGGTAGAGGATTTCTGTTATGTTTTACAAAGTAACATTTTAAGTCAGAATTTTAAACCTAATAAGGATACTTCAGAGGATGAAGGTCTTACGCTTCAGATTGGATCAAACACACAGTAAAACTCTCTGAGAATCCATTATACCTTATCCTTGCTGAACATGGTATGCTTATATGCTTTGGATTGTTCTTATGTATTGAAAATACTGTTGTTTCAGACAAATATTGTCTGCCTGTGCATTTGGAGGAAATTGTAGTTGCTTAAAAGAGACTGGAAACAATATAATCTGTGTGAACACCATCTATCAGCCCAGCTCCATTGTCATGGACAAACCAGCAAGGAATATCAACCCCGTGTTTAGGATCTCTTCTGTAATCCTTCTGCCAGCCCCTGAAAGGGAAAACACAGCCATGGGAGTACTGAGGTAGGAACAGCACCTAGACAAGGAATCTTGCCTAAGTCTTCACTAAGGACTTCATTATTTTGTACCTTGTTACTGTCAGTTCATTGTTTTTAACAATCATTGTGGCATCTGGTTTCTTGGGATCAGACCCAGGATGAATTTCAAGTATGGTGAAGTCAATGGGCTGGAAAAACTGTCCTAAAAAGAGATGCCAAAACTACCATTTCAGACATTAAAACAGAAGCAAACCAAACAGAAATCCCAGAATTTCTACATTCCTGTACTGGTTTCCATGTCCCTTCAGGGTTTTGATTCGATAAATAAACACCGAGTTTCAGGTAAGGCTGAATATATGCCTGTGGTATTATTGGTATTATTTTCTGTTTATAATCCAGAATTGTATCCACATCATCTGGATGCAAGTTCCAGCTTCTGACCACACCAAACAATTACAGCTTTTTTCTAGATATCCTTCAAGATATCCTTATTTGGTGTGTTGTCTATTCTGTTGAATTTATTACACATTTTTCAAGTCTTCAGCCTTTTAAAAATCAAATAATCCATGTGTTGATCTCTGAAATTTCTGGGTGTGATTCTTCTCAGCACAATATTCTGTCTATAAATTATGTAGCCTCCTAAGGAAAGACCAGCAGAGAAACACTAAACAAAGTCATACCTAATAATCCATGGGTCTGTTCAGAAAGTTTATCACTTTTCAATGTGTACAGTCCCAGGAAATCTTGATGGAGAGGATGTTTCTTCCATACTTGGTGCAAAACAACAACAAATGAGGCACCACTGCCCATTGAGAGCATCAGATTTTTTTTTCTGTTAATTATCAAAGTTAAACTGAGGAAAAAAGAAAAACATGACTTAGAACATTGTGTTTACCGGAGTTAACAGCAACAGAAATAAATGTGAGAAGAAACAAAGGTAGCTTTATAAATTGCTCAGTATTTTTTAAGAGAGAGGGTTTGCTGCCTCGTTTGGCCCATAGAGTCTCTCTGTGTATTCACAGACAGTCACAGAATCATATTAAATGACACTGGAAAAGGCTACCTGGCCTTTAAACTTTTCAGTAAGATGTTTTTAGCAAAACCTGTCCTTTAACAGTGCAATTAATCACAGATATGTTGGTGATATGTAGATACAGCACCTCATGCTCAGTAATACAAATTCTATTGATA